GGTGACTGAAACTTTAAGAATGGTTTCAATTTAATACGGACAAATGGATTATTGATAATGTTACATATTTTCTCTACATAAAGAAAATATTATATATACTTTTTTTTTTTTTTCGAGACAGGGTCTTGCTCTGTCACCCAGACAGGGGTGCATTGATGCAATCCTAGCTCACTGCAGCCTCAAAATGTGTCTATTTTATAGGAGTTGTTTTATATATATGACACTTGCATGTGAGAAGTTACCTTATCTCCAACTTTGTGATTTGGAGAATTGAGATTTTAAGATTAAGGTTTTTAATTATAAACACTGAAACCTGAAATATAAACATTGTCTCATTATACCTTTTGCTCTTTTATGTGCACAATACTTTCATGTTGCCACTTAAATCTTTTGGAAGTAGAATTCATACAACTTTTACAGAGATTGAGTGAGGCATTGTTTCTTATGTTTTATTTTTTACATTTCATTAGCTTTTCTTTCCTGCATTTCACCCTGACATTAGAGTTATTTGTTTTTGTTTTTGTTTTGACACAAGCCCCCCCTCACTCTGTCAGTCACGCAGGCTGGAGTGCACTGGTGTGATTGATCATCACTCACTGCATGCAGCCTTGAACTCTGGGTCTCAGCTGGTCCTCTCACCTCAGCCTCCCAAGTAGCTGGGGCTGCAGGCATGTGCCACCATCCCTGGCTAATTTTTATATTTTTTGTAGAGAGAGGGTCTTGATGTGTTGCCCAGGCTGGTCTCAAACTCTTGGCCTCAAACGATCCTCACACCTCAGCCTTCCAAAGCCCTGGGATTCCAGGTGTGAGCCACCCCAAATGACCACATAAGATATTTTTAATCACATAGAGACAGATGGTATCCTTTTAAAACTTAAGAACAGGGATAGCATTTTGATGACCAAGTTACTTGCCCTCAGTTTTTTTCTTCTCATTAATATTTCTTCCCTTACCTATTCAATTAAACAAGACAAGGTCAATTTCCAAATAAATATCTGCAGGAACAGGAATACCTAGGCTGGGCTTTACACCTAGTCACAGCTAACAGTCCATTTAGGAGCAACTCTACTGGATTCTCCTTTATTTTATAGAATTCTAGAGTTCCAAGAGATTTCATTAGTATTCTGATACAGAAAAGAAGAAAGTCTTAGAAGGTTAAAGGGGTTGATCAAGGTCATAGATAACTCATGGTTTGCCAAACATTACATCCACGGTTGAGTAAACATATACACCACTCAGTTTCCCAGAAATGAATCTTTGGTTGCACCAGACAGTGGTTGGTGCAAGTAGAAGTATAAGACCCCTCTTGGCTGGGCATGGTGGCTCATGCCTGTAATCTTATCACTTTGGGAGGCCAAGGCAGGAAGATTACTTGAGCCCCGGAGTTCAAGATCAGCCTGGGCAACATAATGAGAGCTCCTGTCTACAAAGAGGTGGTCTCTCTGTAGAGGGGGTTATCTCTACAACAACTTCTCTGTAGAGGGGTTATCTCTACAATAATTTCTTTCACCTACATAGATGAATTTTTTAATTTTTTCATACAGCAAATGAAAAAAAAAATAGCTGGGTGTGGTGCCACGTACCTGTGGTCCCAGCTGTTTGGTAGGCTGAGATGGGAGGATTGCTTGAGCCCAGAAGGTCAAGGCTACAGTGAGCCATGAACACACCATTGCACTCCAGTCAGAGTGACAGAGTGACACCTTGTCTCAACAACAACAAAAAAGATCCTTCTTCTCCCTAAACCTGATGAATTAGAGCCAGGCCATGTAGGGCCTTTCACATTAGATTAAGGATTTTAGTCTATGGGGCCTTTCACATTACATTAAGGACTTTAGTTTATAGGGCCTTTCACATTACATTAAGGACTTTAGTCTATAGGGCCTTTCGTATTACATTAAGGATTTTACTCTGTATCTTACAAGCAGTGAGAAGTCTCGAAGGAAAGCATTTAAGCAAAGGATGAGATCAAATCTGCCTTTTTTAAAATCAGCCTGTCCTCACTTTGAAAGAATGATGGAGTAGAAATAGTGAGATTAGACAAAGGTTGATAAGTTGGGGTGCTGTTGCAGAAGTCTAGCTTGGATCAGGTTGGTAGAGATCAATGTGGAAAAACTGAGAAGCTTAAGGGATTTATAAAATAGTGGTTGAGGGAAGAAAGGAGTCCTATGATGCATTGATTTCTGATTTACAGGGGCTGTTAAATGGTGGTGCCATTTTCTGAGATATCCAGTTTGTGGAATAGAAGATCATGAATTGTGGTTTTAGACCTGTTATGTTTAAGAGTCTGTGAACAGTTAGTGGCTTTTGTGGAACCAGAGCTCAGAGGAGAGGTCAGGGTAAGAGATGTGAATTTAATCAGGGCCATGGCTGTGAATGAGCTTCCCTAGGGAAAGACTTTCAACTGAGTAGAGGCTGAATATAGTATAGAGTGAACAGGTATACTAAGTTTCATACAGTGGATAGCTTTTTTTTTTCTGAGACAGAGTCTTGCTTTGTCACCCACGCTGGAGTGCAGTGGCACGCTCTTGGCTCACTGCAACCTCCACCTCCCGGTTCAAGCAATTCTTCTGCCTCACCTTCCTGAGTACCTGAGACTACAGGTGAGCGGCACCACACCTGGCTAATTTTTGTATTTTTAGTAGAGATGGGGTTTCACCTTATTGGCCAGGCTGGTCTTGAACTCCTGACCTCGTGATCCACCTGCCTCGGCCTCCCAGAGTGCTGAGATTACAGGCGTGAGCCACCGTGCCCAGCCATATAGTGGATATCTTAAAGGATGGAACAAAGCTAGCTGTAATTTAGTTCTCTTCCTCCTCTTACCACATTCAGTATAGTCCACAAATTGTCAGGTAGAGAAAGTATGTTCTGAAAAGAATTATTTCTTTAACTCCCATGAGAGAATTGTTACTCAACTCTTTGGAAATAGCTTCATTACAAAGAATGTAACATTTTCAGTTCATGAGATTTTTCCTGTATTGCATGTCAAACGTTGACCTGTTTTGTGGTATAGCTAGGATTGTATTTTGTCTTATAAGAAATTGCAAGTTTTTTTTTTACAAATTCCATGAAATATTTACATCCTAGAGCCATTAGGAACCTTCATTTGCTTAGTTGGCATCTTCTTTATTCAACGTGTCATATAGTTTCTCAAACATTACATGTTGAATTTCAACTCCAACCTTCGGACATTCTTTATTCTCTAGTCTTTTTCATCAAGCCAGAAAGCTCAGAGCTACTTTAATTCTTACTTCTCTCTAATCTCCCCCATCAAATCCAAAACCAAGTAGGATCAGTTCTACCCCTAAACGTATCTGCAGCCTGTCTACTGCCCTCTGCCGTCATTCCGGCTGCCACCGTCACTTACTGCAATTGCCAAAGGACTTTACTAACTTTTCCCCTGCTATCATTTTTGCCACCCTTTTTGTGAGCCATTCTCCACACAGTTATTTAGGTGTTTTCTAAAAGAAACTAGATAATTTTGCTCCCTTGCAAACCCTTATATGATTTCTTTTGGTACTTAAGATAAAATTCAAGATGATTTTCTTGGTTTACACAGCCCAGCATATGTTGATCCCTGTCCACCCTGCCAGCTTCGCTCTTCACTAGTGCTGTTTCCTGCCCAGAATGCCCTCATCCCAGTCCTTCACTTGGCTAACTCTACTCGTCCTTCAGATATAAGCTCAACTGCCAGTTTTCAAAGAAGACTTAGCCAAATCTCTCTTTTCAGGCAAATTGCTCCTTCTCGGCTTGGTCAAGGAAGGCCTCTCTTTAGAGCTGATCCTAAATGACAAAAGGAGCAGCCCACGCAAAGCCTGAGCCTACTGCCTTCCAAACCACGAGACTCAGTTGCTAAAGCTTTTGGAGAAGAGGGTCTGTACACACAATCAAATAATTCAAAGATTTTTTAATCAGACGAGGCATGCTTTGCAAGAAGCAAATCTCTACAAGTTTTTAGATTTCTAGATAGGTTTCTAAAGTACTAGTGATGCCATTGGCTTGGCTTAACAATAGATTCATTAGTGCTCAGTGACCCCAGCACACGTGGTGCCCCATACTTGGTTTCCTTTTGGGCAGGATGCACCCTAGAGTACAAAAAGTGTGAATTTTAAGGTCAGTGAAACATGAACTCAGATACCAGTTCTCCCATTTATGAGCTGTCAAACTTGGACAACATATTTCTTTACTTTGAGTCAGTCTCCAACCCTGGCAGGCTGTGGTGGAGATTAAATGACATAATGTTTGTAAGGCACTTAGCACAGAGCAAATGCCTAAAATGATTCTGATCATCATTCACTTACATTATTTACCCTTAGAATAAAGCTATCAAATGACCAATTTTAAGACTGTTTTACATAAGATAAATGTAAACTTTTGAAAAGAAACAGTTGAACAAACACATTGCCCAGAATTCCTTGATGCTTTCTTGTGAAGGTAGGAAGAGAAAAATGATTCTATGTTTCAGCAAAGGTAAATATTATAAAGGATATAGTTTCCTTTAGTTTTTATTTGATCTTTTTGTTCCCTCTAGGAGATAGTCTCTAAGAATGTGGGAAAACTTCAGAAGCAGAATAAGACACATGTTCATAGACACATGGAAACCTTTACCTTTGTTTACCCAGTGATTTTTTTCAAAGCCCTAGATAGCAAAATATCAAGAGTGGAGTTGGAAGGCAGCCTTCCATACTGAAGACCTAGAGTAAAATCTTAGGTCAGAGTGATTCCACACTGACCCACAAAGGAAAAGGAGTGTGTTTCTATTTCATTTCTGTTGTCAAGTGTCTTACATTTTAATCTTGTTTAGGTTTTGGATTAAAAACTTGTTACATTGTTCGTCATACTAAAAGAAATGTTTACATGCAAGCAGACTAATTCAGCAGATTTATTTAGCTTTTCCCTGTTCTGGATGGAGCGATGGCACATATTTTACTTCCGTAAAGAATTTGTCCAAAGCATCAAATATAAAGATAATTTTTTAATTTTCTCCTTCCCTTTTTTTCTAGGATTATGACAGTTTTTTTGAATCCAAGGAAAGCAACTCAGTCTTTTCATTTTTGGGCCTGAAACCACGGTTGGCATCAAAGGTAGGTAAATCTTTTCTTATTCTTGTTTTAGAATTCATCTTTTTTAAATTATTCTTAGACATGGAGGATGAAGGTGTTAGTGGAATGCATATATAGTTTCTTAGATTTGGGGATTTTGCTTCCTCTGATGCATAATTAGAGACTACTCAGTGTTAAAACACACAACAGAGGCTAGTTTTTTTTTTTTTCCCCCAGCTTTTCAGTTGTTGCTATAAATTAGAATATCACCTTATTTCTAATTTATACCCCATTCCTCCAAGAATTTAAGGTAGTAAAAAGTAGTAGATACTTTTGGTTTTAAATTGCAATTTTTTTTACTTTATATTTTTTGAAATAGCAGACTCAGAGTCATATTTAAAGGTTTTTTAAATGTACTTTCATTGGAGATGAGATGGTCCATAATAATAAATGGTCAAGCTTGAAGAAAAAAATTCAGTTTCTTAATCAAAATATTTTGAAGCCACTTTATTAGGTCGTATGCCTTTTAGAAAACATAAAGGAGCCAATATTTTCTCATGTTTAGAACTACGAATGATGTGTGTTATCACAACTTTATTAAGCTTGTGGATTCACTTTCAAAATAAGAAAAAAACATTTATTAAGTAAGGTACTATTTTTGATGTGTGTACACACATTTTCTTTCTGAATATGAAGTAGCCTAGACTCATTTTTTTAAATTGGGAAAATATTTAAAAATGGTAAAATAGAGAATTAAAATCACCACCCAGAGCTAATCACGTTGACATTTTTGTATATTTTCTTGCAATCTTTATATACATGGTAATTGAGGTTTTGAGTGTGTCTATTTTTAACACAACTGAAATAAAAGTACATTACCAAGAACTTTGATGTCTGAAAGTAATAGGTCTTTTGAGGCTACCCAGGATTTGTACCACCTCTGGTATACCTGTAGGAGGAAGGCAGGGACCCTCAATAACAAATTATATACCAGCATCTGCAATGCATAGCCAATGTGAAATCCTGCTTTGTTTTTACATCAGTTAAGTCCACATATGGTTGTGGGTGGTTTCCATGCACATGTTTTAAGCAGAGGCAAAACCCACACATACCATATTTAAAGGTTGTTAAAACTGTTTTTATAAAGATGGAACATTTGAATACTTGTTAGGAAAATTAGAGTATTTTTATAACATGTTTCATCTAAAGGTATTAAAAAGTATTATCCCTGGAAAAAACTAGGATGGGATAGTCTAATGGATGCATAAATCCAGCGGGCGTCATTGTCTATGCAAAAACCTTTTAAAAAATACTGTGTGTTCCCATTTTTCCCAAATATGTAAATTCCTTAGAGACTGTGAGCTGACTTTTTTATTCTTCAAAGAAATGTATTTTCTCAACAGTTTCTCAGGAAATCTATGATCTATGAAATTTACATTCTCACATGGTTTGTGGCCATAGTATTAAAGTTGATCTTGGTGCCACTGATTTCAGGGAGCCATCCCAAAGGTGGCGAGGGCCCTGGATACCGCCTCCATCCAGCCCACCATTTTCAGGGACCTGAATCAGTTGTCCCTGGGCAGAAGCACCTGGGACCAGAGCAGATGTCCATAGCACAAGGTCTGTGCCACTCTCCATGAACCATTTAGGGCTTTAAAGGCTAATAGCAACTCATATTTATAGGCATTTATACTTCATCATTATATGAGAGAAGTGAAAATGTCTTCAAGAACAATTTAGCATTTTCTCCCTTTCTTTTATTTTTCACCTTGGTAGTGATTCATTATACAATCTACTGTCTAAGGCTTTGACACAGGGTTCACAGGTTTAATGTACTAGAAGATGAAAACCCTCTTTTCTCTTTTCCTTTCCTACTTGTTTAGTATACACGCATAAAAAACAGGGCAAGAAAGCCTATCAGGAAACATAAAGACAGCATTAGCACCTATAATTGCGCTTACATGGTAGGAGAGGACATTCACAGGCCCAACGGGCACAGGTGCAGTGTAGGCTCTGACTGGGCTGCCTTCCAAAGTGGGCAGGCCAAAGGTAGGTTGGAGGTCTCTAGGTGATGGCCTGCAGGCTACATTGCCTCTGGATATAGTTTTTGTCCTCTACAGAATTTTTAAAAGGATGTAAATGTTAGATGGTGTGGAAACTCTGGTGGGGGCAGTGAGGGGATCTCACTTTCCCCTTTGGTTGGCTGGAGCCCACAGTGGCTGGTCCACTGTGATACCTAACTAACTCTGAGAAAGGGAGGCCTTTTCACCAATAATTTTTAGGTAGAAAACTGTCAAAGTTAAAATTTAATAGATTCCAAGAAGGGCCTGTTGTAGAAGATTATACTTTCGGATCCCTGCCTTTCAGGGGTGATATTCAAAGTAGGTAAAAACTGGTCTACACCGGGCGCTGACTGGCCATAGCTCGAGCAGGCCACGGAAGACGTCTGTGCCAGGTGTCAGCTCTTTATCCGTTGGCTCGGGGAGAGGGTGTAGGGGTGGCACTTGGGGGATTGGGACACCGACTCTTTACTAACAGGTATGGTCATACTAGAGTGGTTCTTCATCTTGGGTTGCTGTTAACGAGCATCTCCACAGGCTCTTTGAGCAAGGTAACTCCCACCCAGCCATACACAAGTGGAGCAGTACCTGTGAGAGGAGTCCCAATAGGTCATTGAAAACATGCAACTCTTTTTCCACTTTTGTATTTGGCAGGTCAGGTGGCTGTGATTTAAATCTGGGCTCTGATGCTGAAAGCCAGGATTTGTTCTTACCAATCACATGGGGGTGATTTGTTATGATTTCCAGCCTTTCTGTTCCTGACATTTAAAAGCCCCTGCCAAGGGTGAATTTTCTTGTTGATGTAATGCAATAACTAGCATTGTTTTTTTTTTTTAAACAGGCAGAACCTTAGAGAAGAAGAGTGGAAGATGACGGAGATGCATTTTGAAGCACCCACTGGTACTCGCACACACATGCTTACCTAATGCATCACTGTGACAAAAGCCACACACATTACCAGTCACTTTGCTTGCCACGGAAAAGAAGTTTTTGAAAGATGTGGATATAATGAGGATTGCATGATTGCTTTAAACCAAATCAGGTGGTGGATTTTTTTTTTCTTTCTTATTTTATTTTGCCTGCAGTTGCCTCACTCACCTGGAAATACTGACACCTGTTACAGGTGTACTTTCTTAATGACTGAAAGTTAAGTGGGTAGCACCATCAGAGAGAAAATGTTGGATCTGCCCTAGGTTATAGTAGATGCCAAAATTGCATAAACCCACTTCTCTTTAAGCTACCTGGATTGTGTCTTTGAAATTTGTCTGCCAGGCTGTTAGAATGTTTGAATCAGAAGGAAAAAAAAGCAGCATTGGTTGAAAAAGGGCGTTGAAAAATTTGCTGCAGAATCACTTACAAGCATCATGATTCCCATGCTTTGTAATAACACCTGGTGAAAAAGTTTGATATTCTAGACTTGTTTTAGTAATGGAAACTCTTACCCCATATATCATCCAGGCTCCTAGAGATGTTTCCAGAAATCCCTGTTGCAACATCAAGTGATCAGAACTAAGTTACTAGAATGACAATAATTGCTATTTGAAATATATGCTTCTTTATTTCTTGCAAGGGGCAAGTTTCACCTAAATGCCTAAGACTGCTTGAAAGATATATTTTAAGTGGTGCACTAATTAGTTAGTAAATTTATAGGAAAATTGTCTGACTAGTATCTGAAGGCATATTCAGCTCTAGCAATTTATTTATAATACATAAGTATTCATATATTTTTAAATGCAGCTCCCCTAACAGACAGCTGCTGCTTCTATTTTGTGAAGGGGTTATATTTTTTGAGAAAGGAAGATTTCAGTTAGATATATTTTGTGAACCCTTGATTAAACATATTAAAATATACCAATATTGTAGTAAAATTTAGTTTTTCTTTATGTTACTTTTCATTTGTCTCTAACTTTGCTTGCTCATATTTCTGGCCAATGTACAGCCTACAATTTTTCAGATTAATAGAGATACTTGCTCTGATTTCATATATGAGCAAAAGTAAGTTTTCAGAGCAATACATTTGAGAAAGAGAGTAACTCGGAATTGTATTTGTCAAGGAAAATCTCTACTCCCATTGGAGTGGATGTTGATAAACATTGAACGTGTCTACTTCATTAGAGCAGAGGCTACTTTTCTGCATGCTTGTTCCTTTAACAGGGATGCTTAATTTTTTTAAAAAAACCTAAAGAGTTTTAAATTGCCAAACAGAAGAACAGCCTTGAATAGAATAAATTCTCAAAGGGCTGCCTAAAATATTTTATTCCTAGCATTCTGATTCTGGACTTTTCATTGTAATTATGAGTAGAAAATTTATAAGAAATTGAAAAAGCAGAATTATAGCCCTGTCACATGTGCCCCCCACCCCCCACCCTATGCCTTGCTAAATGAACTTGTTGAATGCTAAGGCTGAAATCCCAACCTGAGATTTGTAGTCCAGAAGGAAAGTGTGAGAGATTTCTACTTAACTGGAACAGACACATGATCCACAATTTTCTCTTCAAGGAAAGCTATTGTCAAATTATGGATATTATTGTTAGTTGTCATTAAGTAAGATCCAGGTCAAATTCCATTTGACAAATCCCAGGGACTATCCAGGAATTTTTTTTTTTAAACTGGATATTGTATTTGAGTATATGAATCTTCTGATAAAACTGAGAATTTCTTTTTAGGCTGTTGTAAAAATTGTCATGTTGTAATTCATTACTCAGCTAACATTTAGTCTAATCTTGCTAGTGATTGCCAGGAACCAACTTGCTAAGACTGAGGCTTTGCAAGTTAACTGTTGGGGTCAAAATATGGATCAATAATATACTTGCTAGACAAAGAAAGCTACCCAGATTTGTCTCATAATTTTTGAGTTAACCACAGTACACCTATTATGATTATAGTAAAAAAGACTAGTAGGTAATAATGCTAAATTATCAACACAGTTATATATCATCTCCCTACGCCATTTTTTTTTTTTTTTTTTTTTTTATCAGCAGAGAAATACAGGAGACCAGGCTTGGGTGGTGCTGTACTTGTTATGAGTGAGGTAGAAGCACAGCGTGTGGCATTTACATGGTACCCAGGCTCCTCCAAGTACCAAGATGTTACCCTCTGAGACCTCCACTTAGTTCAGAGAATATGGTGTTCTTACCTGTATTCTTTTACCAGTTGAATTCAAAACATATAATAATGATTTTTTTGTTCCTTTCTTTAACTAGCTGCCTTTAGATTTTGATAATCACAGTCTTAAAATCCTAGGAAAGAAGTGGATGAGAATCGCAGGCACAGATTTTATATCAAGGGCATTTCAAGACAGAATTTTTATTTCCTGTAGTAGGCTTATTGGAACAAAGGAAATGTGCTGCTAAAAATCATATTATGCCATTTTAAAATTGGATAAAATACCGAGTGCCATCCTACTAGGTGTATAAAGACCGGAAGAAAATTTAGTTGGGAAAATACTTATTTTTCCAAATTCTGGTATTTTATTACAATCAAAGAAGAGAAAAGCAAGATTTTTTTCACCCTCAGACTCTAATATATTTTAGATTTGTTTCTGTTTTATAGATTTAATTCAACACTCCCACATAGGTTTTTTTATATTACATGAATTTAATAATAAACTTATTTTTGTCTCCTGTTATTGAAAAGTACCAAAGCTTCGTTCTGTTTTGTTTGATTTTACTATAGGGTTTTGCTTTTTCAAGAGATACTTTTTATTTAACAGCTTTTGTTAAGTGTCAGGTTCCACTTTGTTCCATATAATTATTGTTTTCAGATTTCAATTTGTATGTGTTTGTCTCTTAAGGCATTGGTGAAATCTCAGTTTTTATATTCAGCATAAAGGAGAATAAATTCCAGAAAACACATATTCTGAAAATGGAGTATTTGTTCCCTACCATTTTTAAAACCTCTCTTAATTTTAGTTCTGTTTAGTTGGGAGACTGTGATTTTATTCTCGCCTGTGAACCTCATGCATGAAAGCTACACATTAAATTGTGAAAATATAAACAGATCATGTGATCATTCGAGGAGCCAGGCATGAGGTCCTGCATGAGGGTGCTAGGAGGACACCACAGATTCATCTCAGATAGTGATGAGGACCAAGGATGGAGTTAAATTACTCAGCCCTGGGTTGGATGGGGTGGTTCGAGTGGATAACTGTGTGGTCTCCTGAGTATACTGAAACCACAGGCTGGTGGTGGCTATTTTCTCTGAATTGGGTGCAGAAAACAAGGGCAGAGTGACCGCGACTCCTATTACCTTTGAAGCAGCCATGTCAGAAAGCAGAAGAAAACATTTCTGAAGGCGTTGACTGAGGTTGATCTTATCACTGAACAATTTCAAGCCTTAAGCACCAAGACAGGAGGAGGATGGAGGAAGAGATGAGAGGGAACAGTCTGTAGGTTTGCAGAAACGTGTGAACCATGAAATCAAAAAAGCAAAATGATTACTACCTACTTGTGACTCAGATCTTCAGGGTTTTCCTAGCTCTTCTAGAAATACAAGCCAGGTTAGTTTGTTCATCCTTTCTGTCAGCATGGATCAAGCCCCTAAAATGTGGTAAGTATTGTCGGAGCAGGACAATATCTCTATTCTCAAGTATGAGGGGAACAGAAACAAAGCAGTAGTTTTAGCCAGGGCTCAATGATAGAGTGGAAGTTATAGCCTCCAGGCTGTGATTCACTATTTGAAACATTATATGTAATTTTTTTTTGTTATAAGGTGTTTGAATTTTTAAGAAATTTCATACATGCAATGGAATATAGATATGTATATACACATATAACATATATGCTAAAGTATAAAGAGTAATAATAATAATAAACAAACCCCTGTGTGCCTACCACCCACCTATTGCCTTTCCTTTGAGGTAGCATGTACTCTTTCCTGAACCTATTTCTATCCCTGTCTGATAGAGGGAGCCCGTATACTGAACTTTGTGTTGATCATAGACTTCTTGTCCTTCATCACTTTATCTCCATGTATGTATCCTTAATGCATAATAAATGGAATCAAAGTGAATGTATTTTTCTGTCACCTCCTTTTTATATTTATTGCCATGGGAGTTTTTTCACCACTAAATATTATTCCATTATGAGTATATCACAGATATTCCCTTCTCCAACTGGTGCTTATTGAACTGCATCTTTGTTTGAAACAGAAAAAAGCAATGTTGCGCCGGGCGCGGTGGCTCAAGCCTGTAATCCCAGCACTTTGGGAGGCCGAGGCGGGTGGATCACAAGGTCAAGAGATCAAGACCATCCTGGTCAGCATGGTGAAACCCCGTCTCTACTAAAAATACAGAAAATTAGCTGGGCATGGTGGTGTGTGCCTGTAATCCCAGCTACTCAGGAGGCTGAGGCAGGAGAATTGCCTGAACCCAGGAGGCGGAGGTTGCGGTGAGCCGAGATCGCGCCATTGCACTCCAGCCTGGGTAACAAGAGCGAAACTCCGTCTCAAAAAAAAAAAAAAAAAAAAAAAAGCAATGTTGCTATGAACATTCTTTTATGTGACTTCTGCTGTACATCCTCAAGAATGGATGTATACCTTGAATAGAATTGCTGTTTTGTATAATAAAAGCACATGATCAGCTTTAATGGATAAGGCCAAATTGTTTTCCAAAGCACTAATTTATGCTCCCTACTGGTATACTAGAATTTCCAGGGCTCTAGATCTTTGCCAATGTTTGAGATCGTGATAGTTGCATTTTTGCCAAGCTGGGAAGTATAAAATATTACTTCATTGTGGTTTCATTCTGTAAATTTTTGATTATTAGTAAGTTGAACATGTTTTATTATGGGATTTCTTATTTCTTCTTGGCAATCTCTCTTCCTATCTTTTGCCTTTCTTCCTATTGAGTTGTATTTTAATTATTAGATTTTAAAGTTTCTTTATATTTAACCTTTAATTGATCAACAGTTATTTAATCATTAAAGTGAAGAGAGACCACATTTAGAGTAGAAAAGTCTTCTGAGGCCATTTCCAGAAATTACGCTAAGCATGTGAATCTTTATTCTATTTGGAGAAAATAAAGTTAAATACATATATATTTTTTTCTGTGTGCTAATTTTTACTTTGTCAGCATATCAACCAAGAGTTTTACTTTAAGAACTTTTCTGTGCTATAGGAGGATTTCTTCTTTGAAGCTATTTTAAAGCTCACTAATTCCAGTTATTTTGTAATAAATTAATATCATTAATGTTATAATTTAGTTTTCTGCTACAGAATTTCACTAACAAGAAACCTTTATATAGACTGTATGTTTATATATGCATATCTCCTTAGTATGTCACCACATAATGGGCCTATAGCAATAGGCCAAAATGATGTTACACTTAAGTAAATGTTAAAAAATTATTTCCTTAAGTAATAGGAGATTGTATTGAACCCATACCCAATTAAATAATCATTAATCTGAATGAGGCAGATCAGCATCATGCTGAATATGACCCATATTGTGGTGGCAGCATGTTTCCATGTGTAAGCCAATTGGCGGGTAGAAGAACAAGAAACTAGAATGTAGTCTTATCTTCTGGGACCCTACTAACTGAGGGGATAACATATTTGACAGAATGAGGACCCTGGTATTTGAAAACATATTAACTGAAAGCTTGGTGTTGCTTATAATGAATAGGAAAAAGATTTAGACATTTTTGTAAAATAGCACTCAACACTGTTGTAAGATACATCATTTTTGGCCCTATAATAATAAAATTTATTGTAATGAAACCTTCCACTAAAAAAGCTCTAGCACAAGAATCTATCATACTAATGTTATAGAAACAAACACTCTATAGTTGAGAACAGTACTATCCAGTGTGGTATCAACAAACCATATATAGCTATTGAGCACTTGAATTGTGCCTAGTTGACTTTGTGATGTGAATGTAAATATATTCCAGATTTTTAAGACTTAATGTAAAAGAAAGAATGTAAAATATCTTATTGATAATTTTTATATTGGTTACATATTGAAATAATGTTTTAGATATATTGGGTTAAATTAAATACTAAAATTTATTTTTCCTTTTTGTTAGTGTGCCACTAGAAAATTTAAAATTACATAAATATCTTGCATTATATTTCTACTGGACAGTACTGTTCTGTACAGACCTCTTTACCTGAATTTACAATAAAGAAAACCTTTGAAAGCCTTTTTGGATTTTGGCAAAATGTCAC